ACAAAGTGCTAGTATTTTATGACAAACTTATAAATACACAAAAGGCACATTTTTATAAAGCACATTGTTTATAATAGGTGTGTGGAATGTGTTACAACACATCAGACTAATTATAAACTGTATGATATTACAGTTATATAAGCTGACATGATCTTCTTCAGAGTTATATACCTTTAAGATATAACTGTGAATGAGATATTACAGTTATATATCAGCCTAGATAATATATACAGTTATATAAGTAATTATAAACTGCTTATTTCACTAATATGTAGCTGAGATAACCTACAAATTAAAACTGAAAGTATAACAAATCATTTTACTTAAATTGAAGTGCCATGAGTAATTAACTCTACACAAGTTAGGGATGAAGGGATTAATTAATCGATACTTATCATTAATCTTCATAGCATCGAAAAATATACAGAGATGTTAGTTACACTTGATCTGAAGTATAAATGTATTGGTGAAAAAAACTGTGATGGTATAGATCGCTAATATGATAGTAATGCATGTGCAGATAATAACTTTTTTTCCCACACATTCACATAATAAGTTGTTTTCTCACAGGTTATCCAGAAAATTGGTGTGAAACAATAACTTGGCAATTCATTTTTATATTCAATTTCTGAGTGATGTATGCTTTAGTGGGAGGGAGGAAAATTAAACAGCAGGTATATATTCATTTTTATTTTCAATTTTCCAAGTGATGTAGGCCAGTATGGATACTAAAGAATGCTGTAGTCCTTTAACTGAATTAATTCCTCTCTATTTTATAAAAATCAATGTATTATGGGACATGGATAAGTTTTCACAGGACACCTAAATCTATTTAAAGAACATGGATAAGTTCTCATAGGATTAAACTGAATTGTAAGTAACTTATACAATCTGAAATCTACTTACATCAGTGACCATAAAGAACATGGCAATAAGTTAAGATCGACCTAGTTCTAAATGAACATCGATATTGCCATTGCCAATATGTTCAGATGAACACCTGAAGATGTGGTCTGGCAACTTCCAATATCCAACCATGCTACCCATTTACAAGCACAGTAGCTGTTTTGTAAGAGAGAAAAATGCATAAATATGGCACGGTGCAGAATCTGCTAGCACAACAGGGTAGGGGAAACGAATCCCCAAGTTGTGCACATTGCACTTGGTACCTTACCTGTTCGTCCATCGTCGCTGTCCAGATTGCGGGCCGATGATGCAGACGCGGATGGGGTCAGCGGAGGTCGGGGTGGTGTCGAGGGATAGAGGCTGCGAGTCGTGGAGCATAGTGGCTGAGGGTGAGAGCCGAAAGGGGGAGCAGGGAGCCTTGCACGGGGAGGGGGAGGACCGGAGGAGATCGCGCCGGGAGGAAGTTAGGGTTTGCGGGTTTGCCTTGGGTCAGGGGCGGAGAAACGCGAGGCGGGGAGAGGGCGCGGGTCGGGGCGGAGTTGGTGAGCGGAGGGGAGGTGTCGATGCATGGATGACGGCGGCGGCGTGGATGCGGGAGCCGGTGGTGGAGGCGGCGCGCACCTGGCGACGGAAGGGCTTCCGGCGGCGGGGATCGGTGGAGGGCGAGCCGACGAGCAGCGGCGATGAGGACGAGCAGGAGCGGCGGTCGGCGGCAATGCAGCACGGCGATGGGGGCGGGCGGGCGGCGCGATGTGGGAAGAGAGAAGGCGGTTTCAGAAGAGAAGAGAACTTTTAGTAGTATAGATTAGAGAAGTACTAGAGAAATATATCAGTTGCAATAGAAACTAAATATTTAGCGAGAAGAGTATTAGAAATATATCCGTTGCAACGGACTCAGTAGAGTAAATATTTAGCTATACTTAAAATTTAGTAGGATGTTTGTGTCAATTGTTCCTCTAATGGTCCTTTTCCGGTCATAGTATATGTGCGGTGAATATGGAGGGACGGGGTAGCCCAGTCTGACAGAGCCTGCAACTGAACCATTCTGAAATTCCCAACTGCAGCATGAAGGTGAAAGAACTTCAATTTATCAGCAAATTGGACCCTGATCCATTCAAATAAAATCATTAAATAGATCCACGGGATTTCACTATAAAGAAATTGATAAATTGAAGCTAAAATTGTGCAGGAGTGCGAGTGACAAGAGTGTACGACAACTTATGTCTAAGACAGCTTCGGCCAAGTATAACTTGTCCGCCACCGCAACTGCAGATTGCAGTCCTTCGCTTGGTTATCCTTCTCACACACTGCCGCTATCGCATGCCCCATGGTAGTCGTGCTAGCAGCGCCATTAGCAGCGAGGTGTGCCACACGAATCTCCTAGGCCACTCGACGTGGGCGATGTAAGCGGACATGCGGGGGAACTTATTGAGCAGGGATGCGGTTTGCGAGGGACTCAAGTGGTGTTTGATACTAATGAAAATGAATATTAAGTAAGGTCACGAAAAACAAAAAGCTATTAGCGTATGATTAATTGAGTTTTAATTATTGCAAATTTAAAAAATGAATTTATTTGATATTTTATAGCAACTTCTATATAAAGTTTTCACACGAAACGTGCCATTTAGCAGTTTGAAAAGTGTGCTAATGGAAACCGAGATAAAATCTGCATCTTAATGAAAAAAGAACCGGGTGTCGCTGTGTCAGTGTGTTATCCTGAATTCCTGATATATATTGTTGTGGATTGATCGAGTATTCAATCAAGTTTCCTGCGTATTTTGTTACCGTCACTACAATAGAAACCCTTTTTCATAGCACTACCCTTTTATTTTTACTTGCGGATTTAATACACTCTTATAAAGATACTTAAGAGGGATTGTGGTCACCAATCGCCAGCGAAAATCGATTTTCGCTAGCGGCCACTTAAGATGATTTTACAAGCGGATCTCTTAAGCGAATGGCAGCACTGGCGATCACTAAATAGCACCGCCTTTAAAATCAACAGCCTATAAAAATTTCGGCTGTGTTAGGTGCATTAAAAAACCATGCACGACAAAAATCCTCAGATCCACTCCTCTCCTCTTCTCCTCTCGACCAATACCTCTCCTTTTCTCCTCCCTCACCTGCGCACCACCGCCTCACTCCTCTCCTCCTCCCTTCCCACCAGCAGCGGGTCCAGCGACAGCGGCAAAGGGGACGGGTGGTGGCGGTGACCGGCGGCGGCAACTCCCAAGTGCGGGCGATGGATCTGGTGGTGGCGGACGGGCTCGGCGGCGTGGGGTGGCGTAGGGAAGCCTGGCTCCTCCCCTCTCCATATCCGGAGTGGGGTGATGCAGGGGAGTCTCATCTCTCTCTGGGCTCGATAGTGACGACTGGCGGCGGCAAAGGGGATGGGGTGGCAGCGGCGACTCGCGACAGGGGGCGGACCAGCGGCGGGGACTCCTGCGGGCGACTGATTTGGTGGCAGCAGCCGGGTTCGGCGGAGTGAGGTGGCGCAGGGGAGCCTAGCTCCTCTCCTCTCCTCTCCAGATCCGTAGTGGGTGGCACAGGGGAACCTCCCCTCTCCGGGTCGGCGGCGGCGACCGGTGGTGACCGGCAGTGGCTGGGGCTCGGTGGTGGCAAGAGAGCCGTCGTGGCGGGGTTCGTCAGTGGGCGGTGCATGCGGCCATGGCGACCAGCGGCGCCGATTTTTATTTTTTTTACCCTAAAAAATGTTTTCATTGGCGTTCCTCTTAACTTGCCGCCAGCGAAGATGGTATTTTTGCTAGCGATTGTCTTAACATGCTGCCTGTTAAACTTGATTTTTCCTGGCGGTCAGCTAACCGCTACTGAAAATACATTATTTTCACTGGCTTTAGTTCGTTGGCGGCACCGTCGGCCACCAGCAAAAATCTATTTATCACCGGCAAAAATGATTTTCTTAGTAGTGCGTATGTTTCATGCTCGATATAGATTGAAAAATGTATGTACGTATTTGGTTGTGTCAAGCAAGGTCCAGATCACCAGACTGGACAAAGAAATTAAGGAAACCGAATAAATTAAATACAGGAGATGCGGCGTGCACATACGTACCGCTTGTCATGAGCATCTTGAATGTATTAAGCAGGAACGTCCCTGTGTGGACGCGGACGACATGTTGCTTTACGCGAGAATTGAGATAGATACAGGCATGTGGGAATCGGTAATGTGTGGTAATTCGGACAATATACCGAGCTTTAGCAAAAACATTTTGTATTTTTATAATAGGTAAAGATTGAAAGAAAGCTTGTAAAGGCACCCACAATGATTATCTATAAGCTCTCTAAAAGAGATCCATGTCAGCATATTTTCCTACTTGGAAGAGATTAAATGAAGAGAGAGAGCAAAGCTATCTACTAACATGGAGATAGTCTATACAGAAAAACGAGACAATGGATTAGAGAGCTATAGATACCCATGTTAATCTAATCTATTGCTGAAATGTACGTGTTTTATAGATAATATCTTACTTTACCATTATTGCGGGGGCTTTAAAGGAAAGGATTCGTCCGCCGTAATACGACCGTTGAGTTGTCAGCTTTTAGGGCCAATTTGGGCCATGTCTTATTTAATCCATGGAAAATGTTCACTTCAAATCCTTCAAATATATCAATCTAAATATCTTCAGATTACCTATTACGGCTCTACTAACAAACTTGCTCTTATAAAACCTTAACCGTGGCAAGTGGCAACAATACTTAGATAGCATATTCGTTGGGCTTTGGGAGTGTAGATTGGATATGAACGAACTCTTGCTGTTCAGTGCTACTCCCTCCGTCCCATAATATAAGGGGTTTTGAGTTTTCGCTTGCAATGTTTGACCACTCGTCTTATTCAAATTTTTTTTACAAATATAAAAAATGAAAAGTTGTGCTTAAAGTACTGTAGATAATAAAGTAAGTCACAAATAAAATAAATAATAATTTTAAACAATTTTAAATAAGACAAGTGGTCAAACGTTGCAAGCGAAAACTCAAAATCCCTTGTATTATGAGACGGGGGGAGTATTTGGATTGCGAAATTCTGTACAGGTTTGCAAAACCTAAGAATTCTCCAGCTAAATCTGTGCTACTGTCTTCAAAAGAATCACTGATGCTTTACTATTGAATTGATATTCTTTTTCAGTCAAGAATGGCCAGAAAATGCTTTCTACGACTGCATATATTTACATAGGTACCAAAAATCAACATCAAGGCTATATAGTTTGGATCTCTCGTTCTGCCAAAATTAGATTTTATTAAAACAAATTTTAGAGCCTAACAACATGTAATTTTGTTCAGATCACATATCAAAACCGCTCTCCACAACGCTATTCACAGTTTTGTTATCGATCATTTTTTATCATTAGGCTTTGAAATTTGTTTAATAAAATATAATTTTGGTAAAACTAGAAAATCAAAAATCCAATTTATTGTCCCCTACATCCCGAGCTATCGCTCTTCGGAATTGAATTTGTTCCATGCCTCCTGCATATAGCAGCATATACCAATCAGCCTCCATTTATTGCATTAAGTAAATATAAATACATTACCTAGTCAAAACAAAATTTCCAGGTTTTATGGGTGTTTTCAGAGATGAAAAAAAAAGGCTTAGTTTTGCAGTTATGTTCCATACAGATTCTGGAATGAACAAGCTTTTGAAAATAAAAATTATACCTACTGCGGGTAACTGGTGAGCGCCAGTTTCCAGCCAAGTAACCGCAATAACAGGGCTTGTAACGTGTGAAACACAAGGGACTGAAAACAGCCCACTCAAACCAGGAACCAGCTGGATGCTAAGAATGGAGGATGAAAAACAAGGTAGAACTTGTTGGAGCTGATGAGCATAACGAATCCAAGCTTTCATTTAATCCCCATGAGAGGGATTGAGGGGGAATAATTCAACACCCATAATAGGTATGGAATAAATCCCTCCCAATTTTCTTGCTGGAGAAATTAACCGAACAAAGCCTTAATGGGTTGGATCATAGGGGCGATGATTTACTTCCCATAGCCATAAACCGGCAGTCTAATTTCCCCGTTCGATAGCTACTACAGGTCCTATGCAATCGATCAGCACTTATAGATATCCCTTCAACACAAGTCATTGAAAGAATCTCAGATAACACCAAAGCATGAAAGCTAGTTAGAAAATGGATTGCTAACCAGACCCAAGTCCAGATAAGCTTTTATCTAAGCAGGTCCCCGTTGTTAACCAAAAACAGGGAAGCAGGTGGATAACTGGGCACAAACTGCTGAAGTCAAAACCATACTGCTCCAGATGAAAAGTAACAAGCATATAAAGTCTTGGGTTACAATCAAATTTGTAAGACATAGTGCTGCTGCATAAATCTCAATGATGATGGCTTTCAAGATCCATGTTAGAAGTTGCTTGGATACTGCCTATCATAAAATGACAACAGTTGGAGAGTTGGTAAATGCGAAAGTCAGCATGATGTCAAACTAGGTGATCTGAGTTCAAGACCTATCTGAACCATTCTGATAGGGAAAAAATAGTGATAAGAGTTGAAGGGTCCCAAAAGCAGGGTTTCAAAACCCGGGGTTTTTTTTTTTTCTGGAATTACCAACCCTGGTAAAATCTGGGTTTTACCAAGACAAAAAATTTAGTACTCTTGATGAAGAGACATGGTGAAAGGTAAACAAAATTATGGTCCATAATGCAAATGTGATGCACTTTAAGAAGACTAAATGATAGCCATCAGGCATCAGCTATGAACAAACTTCTCTGAAAATTAGCAATTGCTGATAAGTAACTGGGGGTGGAAATTCAAAGATGAAAACCACAAGAATATGCATAAGATGTGAACAAATAATGTACCTTAAGAAGATCAAACACCTTCTCACAAATATATTTCTGTCTGATTGTAGCACCCCTTTGTTGTAGTTTATCGGGATGGACACAAAGGGTTGCCCTTCTATATGCTTTCTTGACAGCAGTTGCTGTAATGAGATCTGTGAGGGGAACCGATTGCCAACCATTATCTGAACCAAGGATCTGCCAGGAAAAAGGTTTCCATGAGTTGACTAATATCCAGTTTAGTTCATCTGTGAAAATTCAAATTCAACATGACTGTATAATGATGCAGTGCAGAATTGGTCTAAGCAAGTAAAGCGTAAGTCAGTTCAACTGATAATTTCCATGGGAAGATTTTTAGCATCAACAAAACTGCAAAAAATGTGCAAGGACTTGATTCACTTATTTTTCTTTTAAATATGCTTGTGTGTTACTTTGTCCTTTCTGACAATATTTTAACAGCATAAACATATACAAACAATTGGGCCATTTATACAATGATTAGGTCTAGTTTATATTGTTAAGTGGAATTAAATATGCTGTCCTTAGAAGGCTGGGTGTTGTTCTTCGAGTCATTTCTTCATTAAACATCCTGGGATGAATTTTAGAAGTGAACGTAATTTACTTGAGGCCAAAAGTAAGCATATTAAAAGATCTAGGAAAAGAAATTAGCATAACTGATAAACTTGAGTGGAAGTTAAGAGTGGTCTAAAACTCTAAATAGAAGTCCCGCAAATAAAAGTATTTACATATTGCAATGTAGATAGCAATGCTCGCAGATTTCCTTCCTTTCCATTTGACCATCTCTTGACTTCGGGGTCAAGGTATTCAGCTAATCTCTGTACAAAAAGAGACATGATTTTAGAATAGAAGGATTTTGCAAAACAACAAAAACCTTTTTTTTTTCTAACTACTACATGTATTACATGTCTCTCTGCTTGCTCTCTCTGAGCCAGCATGTCCCGCATATTCTTTTCAGCTAGAGCTTTGGCCTGAAAATTGGTGATGTTAAAGAATTGAAAACAACAAATAAAGAGACGATGCAGTAGGCAAAAGAGTATGCAAAACATTTCAGCATACCGCTCGCTCAGCTGTGCGATGTTCCCTCTCAGATCTTGCTTTATGTCTCAGAGCTGACTCAAACTCAACTACTGTAAATAAATACGTTACAATAAGTTTTGACAAGTATAACTATGAAGAAATATTACAGCAAAGATAAAACTGACAAAGCACAAACTCCTCCCCTTCTTATAATAGAAATGTTTCAGGATGTTATTACCAATACCTTGATTACTAGAATCCGTGCTTCTTTCATAGTTATTAGAAGCTGTCTTCTGAAACTGTTTGTCCAGTTGATTATCCTGCATCAAGAACATGGATGAGATACTACTTAAAGGTATTATTACTAGATGCTTAGACAAATATTTAAGTATTTAGTTTGGAACTGTAGTGTAAAAAATATAATGACATCAACTACCTGATTAGTAGACTTGAAACTGTCCTTGAAGGAGGATCTAAATCTTTCCATTCGCTCCTTTGCATCTGCAGCAGCTTTTGCCTTTTCAATTGCTCTCTCCCGAGCTTCAGCAGTTGCTCTCTCAACTGCTGCACGTTCTGCCTTTAGTCTAGCTTCTCTAGAAGCCTTCTCAGTAGCTGCTTCAGCAGTTGCCTTCTCCTCTTTCTCTCGAGCTTCTGCAGATGCTCGTTGACGTGCTAAGGTAATCCTTTCCAATGCTATTCTTTCAGCCTTTGCACGGGCCTCAGCAAATGCTCTCTCATGTGCTTCTTTCGTAGCTCTCTGAACAGCAAGTCTATCTTTTGCTCGCTCTCTCTCCCGTTCCTTCTCTTCTTCTAATTCTCTTCTTGACCTCTCTTTAGCTTGTTCCTTTTCTCTTTCCATTTTGTATATTTCTTTGTCTTCATCTAGTCTATGCAAGACCTCCTTCTCAGTTTCTCTCAGTGTCTTTTTCACATTTTCCCTCCCTTCAATTCTCTGACCATCAGGGGTCTCATCTATCAATTTCTGGACAAAATTCAATGTAGTGTTCTCTGTAAATTTAGGTACAATGTAGCTGTCCAAATGAAAATATTTCTGATCCTTTACATTTAATTTTGACTGTTTATCTTTGTCATCTCCTTCCATTTTACTTCCAATAGCTTGCCCTTGTTCCAGTGCTGTACTATTTTCTTCTGGAAATTCTCTTTCTCTGCAATCCTCTCCAAGGTTTTCAAGAGGGGTGCTCTTATCAGATGTCTGAGCAGCAATAGACTTGTCAATCTGAGACAAGTGCTGCATGCTAGCAGATGACTCTAAAAATGAAGCACTCAGTTCTTTTGAGCATGTGCTCATCTTCGTGTTAAAATCAGTGCCATCATCAATAATAACTTTAGTTTCAGAATCATTACCATTTCCATCATTTATTGCATTAACTCCTGCATATGCATCATTTGGTCCTCCATCGATACCACCTTCGACAGATAGCTGGCCCTCTTCATGGCTGAAAATTTCTTCCACCTGTGACTTCTCGCTATTATCTAACCAGGGATCTTTTGCTGCTTCTTCATTACCATGAGATACAAGATCCCCCATTCCGTCCATTCTGTTTTCAGAGTCTTGTATCTGATCTGAATCTTCAACAGAAGTACCATATGTACTAACATGGGTTTCCATCACATTAATGCCCTCCACAAATGCATTCGCTTCTTCTGCTTCTTCATTTTCATTAGCACTAGCACTTTCCAAAGTAATGTTAGCTTCCCTTTCCAGAGATCCAGATTTTTGAACCACATCTCCTTCCAAAGTAATATAAGCTTTCTCCTCAGTTCCAAATTTCTTAATTTCTTTGTGGATGAGTGATTCTGGAGGTGCTTCAGTTATTCCTATGTTCTTATTCTGCGGGCGTAATTCATCAGAAAAACTAAACATCTTTTCTTTCTCAACAGTTTCGGTCTCTCCATGAGCTGTACTCGAACTTTTCTGGAAATTTGGGGTTTCATAATATTCCACCGACTCTTCTAATTTTGATACTTTCACTTGACTTGCCTTCTTTTCATCAATATTTTCATTACGAAATTCATGATATTCCTGTAATATTTGGCTCTGCATCTCATCAGCACATGGAACCTCAAGTGCCTCTATATTGTTGTTTTCTTTGTTAGATTCTCCTAATGATGTTGTTTCCTTAGTACTAGCATCAGAAGGACTTTTATTACCATTGCAGTGACCTCCAGATATACAAGACTCCAAAGATGCACCGGGTATTTCTGGAGCATGTAGCTTTGAACTATCCACACATGAAATCTCAAATGCCCCATCATCACCATATCGTTCTTGATAATTTTGTGCCCCCACACATTCTTTGAAATGGGTCTCAGTTGACTCTTGGTATGTGGGTTTTTCATTGCTAAAAGAAATTTCTGGAGCAGTAGGAGCCTTGCATCCATCCTCCGTAGAACCTATAGCATATTCTCTCAAATTTACATGTTCCATTCTCAACTCTGCTATGTCACCACCATCCCATGATTTTCCACACCCTACAAAATCCCCTGAAGTGGTTTCTCCTTTTCCTTTCTCAAACTGGCCGAGCTTGCTGGAGGGATTTGTTGTCTGAACATTATCTCCTTCACATGTAACTGAGTTAGTTTTGCATTTCTGGTCAGGGCTAATCAGTACATAAAATTCAGCACCTGATGTCCACTTTCCTAGTTGTTCTAGTTTAGAGCCACTTTGCGCTGTATGCTGAGGCTTCCTTGGTTGTAGAACCCCTTTTTCATTGTGATCACAGTGAGTTAAGTTAACTGCACTGCTGTCTCCATTCTTATTCACCAAAGCTGTCTCCTCATAGGTCTTTTCCTCTTTCACTATCCTTCTCATGGTCAGCTTTTCATCATAAACACGCACCTCTTCAGGTGCCATACTTTCCTTAAGTTCTGTCGATTTTGTGCCTCTATGATGACCTGGCTTCTTTCGAAGTTTAAAACTGTCACCTTTTCTCTCCATCAATTCTTTGGCAGCTTTTAACCGAGCTTCAGCAAACTCCATTGCTTCTTTGATAGCAGCAGCAGCAGCAGCTGAGTTAGTACTGACTTCAGAATCTCCATTTGCTTTACTTTCCTTTTTATTAAGCAATTTGGATGGTGGCTGTACTTTGATGGGTTGTGTGTGAAGGCTGTTATTTGGGACCCTTAAGAATGGGTAGTCAGGGGAAGGTACGTCCTCACTTGATGCTGAATGGGTGCTTAACCTCTTGTGGTAATCTTCATCTTCACAATCAGTCTTAGAAATGGGATGACATGTTGGTGTGTGCAGGTTCTGATCAGCCATAGGATCACTACTAGCACTCTTCACACTTGAACTTGATGGGAAAGTCAGGCCCGTGCTTCCTTTTTCACCATTTGCTTTACTTTCCTTTTTATTAAGCAATTTAGATGGTGCCAATAAAGGCGGCTGTACTTTGATGGGTTGTGTGTGAAGGCTGTTATTTGAGACCCTTAAGAATGGGTAGTCAGGGGAAGGTACTTCCTCACTTGATGCTGAATGGGTGCTTAACCTCTTGTGGTAATCTTCATCTTCACAATCATTCTTAGAAATTGGATGACATATTGGTGTGTGCAGGTTCTGATCAGCCACAGAATCACTACTAGCACTCTTCAGGCTTGAACTTGATGGAAAAGTCAGGCCCATGCTTCCTTTTTCACCATTTGCAAATGTATCACAGTCCACTACTACAACTTGATCCATTGCTGACTTGTTTGAAATATTGCGAGAGTCAACTACATAACTTATCGGAGGCTCCACCATACAAGTAGTCATTTTAACTATATCATCTGGTCTTCCCCTGGTAGCCTTGTTATATGACATACTAAACTGTTTCCCACTATCCGGAGGAGAGGAGATTGGAGAAAATTCGTCTTCATCAAAGTGTTGGTCATAACCTACAGTTGAATAGTGTTGATGGAGTATAGATGGATCAGCATCTAGTTGGCCAGATTCTTTTCTGACTGATGACCTGTATATATGAAATTATTGGCCATAAGTTTAAAAGTAACATGTGCTTTTGACATATTATAATGAAAAAAGAACTTCAGTCAAGCAAATGTGAAGAAAAATAGCAATAGAATTAGCACAACAAAGCAAGCTATCCACAAGTCATGTTTTTTGCGATATTGTTTCAAATTTTAAGATGAGCTTGAAACATTTTTTTTTCTCTTGTATCCTCGTTTATCTCACCTCTTTTCTTCAGCATATACGAATAAACAGTCATGCCAACTATTACCATTCTTAACCTTAAAAACATTAACACCATTAAAATCATGGTAATTTCCCATTACTGTTCACTTGGTTTTATAGCCTTCTTAACTGCCATGATGACCACAATACATCTTGTGAAAAGAAAGAGAGTAGTACTACAATGTGAAGTCCACACCAAAATAAACATTGCTAGACAGACAATGGGGTCCACTGCTAGACTAGGTAAGAATAGTAAAGGGAGAACGCGATAGGGCAGTAAAGCAGCAATTGGATGTAGACAAAATTATAGGGCTAAGGAACAGTGGTAGATCTGATAGTAAATGTTTCCTTGAGAAGTTATCCATTTTGGTTCAATTGTCTTTTCCTGTGCAATTTCATAGCTGGATTTACCTACCATGAAGTACATAAAATTAAGAGTGATGAACTCCAATGAAGACTACAATTTCTACTATCTAGAGATTGAAATCGTTACTCCTTTCTCATTTTTACAACAAAAGGGTGCTTGAAACTCCTGGACAGAACATTTCAATAAGAAGATCCTATGATCGAAATGAAAATACATAGCAACCTCCTAGATTCTTTCAGATTTGCAGAGAAAAGACATCACTTCGTCCGAAAGAAACCACCTTTGTGAAAAAGAACTGTCTATGGAACACGGAGATGTATACCATATCTGGACTCTCCAATCACATTAATTACTCCAAAGCATCCACTCAAAACGATGACAAATTAGCACTCGACCAAACTGAGTCACCTTTATAGATCAGAAAATTGTGATACACGTAGCACAGAATTGACGCACCACCATGCCCATTTACTGAAAGTCAAGCAAACACTGAAGTAGGGACTTGAGGTTATGCTAATTAGTACTAAATAGAAAGTGGTTGTGTAGGCAGAATTTGAACCCCAAATAGGCACATTGACACTCTCGTCTGAATTTGCTAAGGGAACTTGCTAGGGAAGGGAAGCATCAGGAAACCTTCCACGGTTCACCAAGAGATCTTCTGATCAGCTTAATCGGTCTAATTTCTAGTGGACATGCACATGCTTACCCAGGAACAATGAGCTTTACAAATATCGCAACGGGGGAAAAAAAAGGTAAAAGGAGGAGGGGAATTCGTACCTCGAGCTCTCGCTCGACGACGCGATCTCCGCCGCCAACGCCACCGCCTCCGCCAGCAGGTCCTCGTACGGCTCCGCGAAGTCCCCGAAGTCGAACCGGCCGAAGATCTCGCCGTACGCCCCTGCCCCGGCGCCGTCGTCGCGGGCGGCGGCCGGGGGCAGGTCGAGGTAAGGGATGGAGCAGGAGGCCGCGACGCCGCCGAACACCTCCCCGTAGTCCGCCGGCACCCCGTCGAACGCCACGGCGAACTGCGGCGGCCCGCCGAACACGTCGCCGTACGCCGCCGCCGCGTCCGTCGACGACGCCTTCCTCCGGTGCCTCCGCCGCTCCCTGTGCCGCGGGGGCGCCGCCGCCGCCGCGAGCTCCTCCATCCTCTTCCTTCGCGGCGAATCGGAGAGCGCGCGAAGAGGAGAGGGGAGGGGAAGAGGAGCAGCGGCTGCACAGTGGCACGCGACGCGCCGCCGGCTTTAGAGTTTTTCGGGGGTCGAGGCCTCGGGGACTTTGGAGTTTGGGGGGTTTTGGCCGGGAACGTGATTACGTGGGTGGGTAGGTGGAGCCGGTGTGGCGGTATTAGTATTTTTTGGTGGACAAAGTGGGGCCCGGTGACCAGTCACCAGCGTCCTCGTGTGGGGCCCGAGGTGGAGGTGGCTTTTGTCCGGGTGCGGCCTTGCTGTACGTCAGGCAGGGCCCACTGGGAGCGGCTGACCGGGGAGACCGTTGCTCTCTGGGTTGCTCTGCTCGAATATTTTTCGTACTTTCAGACACTTTTTTCTTTGATAAATTTCCAATTCGAACTTTCTTTATGTATATGCAGGTAGGGATGAAATCACTCGGAAATGATCGGAAAACAGCCTCAACAATTTCCATAGCCATATTTTTCTCGGAAAAAAAATCGAAAACGGTAAAATCGGAAATGAAAACAATATCGAAAATATCAGAAAACCGGAAGCGGAACAATACGGATGAAAACATATCGGTACAAATCGGAAACTGGTAACAAATACGAAAACATTAAAAATACAAAAACATATATTTAACTTTATTATATGTATAAATAAATTCAAGCTTATAATATATAATTATAAATTAACTCCATTTTAGCCATGCACTCAAGATAGGGATTTGATTCAAGTAGAAACATGCCCTATAAATATCGATATATTTAGAAATATGGTAATTACATATTATAAGAAACGATAATTTCCACAATAATATTGTAAATAAGGAAACGATCGGTATAATAGCAAAACCATTTCCATTTTAATTTTCATTTTCGAATCGGTCGATTACCATTTCCATATAACTTGGCCGGTAGAAAGTCGAAAACGAACACCGATCGACCGAGAATTACCATTATTGTTTTCACCACTAGTTGCAGGGGCGGAGGAAATTTGATTCACCGATGTTATCGATATTAGAGGACACATCTTTCTTAATACTTAGTGCATCTTCATCGCTGAACAATTTAACCATTAATTTTATCCGAGATTATTGAGGCCGGTTGATCCTGACGGTAGCTCCACCCTACATACCATGTTTTAGAATAATACTAGTGTGAAGTGATACTTTATCGGTTTGTAAATATTTGATTGTGTAGAACAAGACAACCAATGAAAAATTTAACCATCAATAAGAGTGCTTATACTTCTTTTAAACAAAGTAATGATGGTGGTGAGAGATAAATTGACCACCACTCACCATTACCAACTCTCTCTACTTTTTAGAGTTAAAAAAAACTCTCTCTACTTTTTTAGGAAAGGAAAAGGCTAGAGGGTTCACATATCAACAACCCACACACAAACTCCCTACTTTGTGAGAAGGAGAAAAAACAATGTGGGTTAAATGGCTCATTTGTCAGTTATAAATATATGTAAAAATTTAAGTGGTTATTCAGGTTCATAGGACTAGGTGATGCCTAAGACTACTAAACTACGGAGGAGTAGATTCATGTGTTGTAAGGTTTAGTTCATTTCTTAGAGTTCCCATCCTCTACTCCATCATTTCCCGCGTGTATACATCCCAAATTGCTACCATTGTGTTTTTTTTTCCAAAAACATTCAGTAGGAAAATTGCTTTCAAAAAATCATACTAATCCATTTCTTATTTTTAAACTAATACTTAATTAATCATGCGGTAATAAGCTACTCCGTTTTCCGTGCCAAAGGAGAAGGTTCCCAACCTTCACAATCAAACACAGTCTAAGGGTATGTTTGGTTGGGTCGTGGCTTTTATAAAAGCAGTTATGGGCTGTGACTTTTTGAAAAGTAGCTGTGAGAAAGCCAAAAGCTCGTTTGGTTATACACATGTGGCTTTTGGAAAAGCTTCTCCCCTGACGAGTGGACCCCACACTGTAAGCCTCAACCGACCAGCCGGCCATCCGATCGCCGTAACCACCGTGGTCGCGGTGGAACAAGCACACGTACTCGTCGTAGTTCAAAATGTCCCTATCGGTCTCGACGCCCCGCACCCACAGAGGCTCGCTGGAGGAGCACATCTCAACCAGCTCGTCCAGCACACGGGTGGCTAGCTCCAAGATCCTTGGCTTGTCGTCGTTGTCGTACAACGGCCTCCTGCTGTTCGTCTGCACGGCGTTCTCGAGTCGCAGCCGCTGTTCTTCGGTGTCCGCCGCCGCCGTCGGAGTAGGCAAAGGCTCTAACCGGGAGCGATGTAGCCATAGACGATAGCGAGGCGAACCTCCCACTCCACCATGGTGGCGGTGGTGGCGCCGCCCATCTCGCTGCTGTGAAGAAGGCCGCCATGGAGCACCGCGAGAGGCACAGCGCCCGGGTTGCCCTCGATGTCGCTCATCGGCAGCTTCGACGGCGGCGATGGGAAGGGAGGCGATATCGATGCCCTGGACGATGAGGGCGAAGAGGCGCTTGAGGGCGCCGAGCTTGTCGAGGGGAGGGCCACTGCACGCGTCGAGGGAGGGAGGTTGTTGAGGCTGGCTGGATCGCCAGGGCAGAGGGAGGGAGGCCATCGAGGCCAGTCAGGTCGCCGCGGCCTGTTCGTCCTGCGTGGCGCCACCGCCACCGGATCTGGGCCGGCGCGGGACGAGAGGAGGAGCGGCGGCGGCGTCTCAGCGAGGAGTGGCGGCGGCGGCGGGGAGAGGAGGAGTAGCGGCGGCGGCTCGGTGAGGAGGAGGAGCGACGCACGGGTGGGAAGGGAGGGGTGAAAAAAAAAGAAGCGAACCGTTCTTTTTGTGTAATGGTAGAGGTGGATAATTTTTTCCCTAAAAAACAGGTGAAAGCAGGGAATAGAGGTACTTTTGATTTGTAGTACACCAAAAGTTAGCTTTAGACAAAAGCAACTGTGGCTTTTGGGCATTTGGTTGGCTTTTGGCTTTTGCAAAAGCAAAAGCAGGTTTAAAAGCCCAAACAAAGACAACCTAAATGGGCTCAACTTGTTTCTCTCACCTTTTTTCCTTAAAAAAGGCACAACCACTACGATATCTAGTACGGTCTTGTTCCCCGCGAGGAACGGATAGGAGGGAAATAAGAGAGAATTATTTCACACTATAATAGGTATGAAATAAATTCCCTCCAAATTCTATTAATTTTATTGTCAAGGGAATTAACCAAACAAGGTCTACGGGATTACACTTCCTGTGGATCACAATAAGGTTGTGATGATTGAAATCATAAATTTGAATTCTTCCACTTTGATCTTTTGTAAAATCCAATGTTACACAACTTGAACAATTAATAACCGTGTTTGGATTTAAAAAATGATTCATCGGATTTACAGGACTGTAATAATCATTTTAACCTGAATGTTGAGGAAGATTCCGGCTTCAATTCCAAACTATCTGCGATGGCTATTGCTTAAGCATTGTCATAGGAGTAATTCCTAGTGGTCGTATAGTACGATAACGGTGTATGAGCTTTTCATTCCAAAAGCTTGAAAGCTTACTAGGTTGCACTTCATAGTGGCCCCGTTTGGATTCGGAGAGCTATTAAATAGCCCTCCGAAATCTTGCTATTTAAAAATATTAAACGTAGATTAATGACAAAACCCATTCTATAACCCCTAAGCTATTTTGCGAGATGAATCTAACGAGGTATATTAATCCATGATTTGCTATAGTGATGCTATATTAATCAGCCGCTAATTATGGATTAATATACATTATTAGATTCGTCTCGCAAAATAGCCTAGGGGTTATGGAATCGGTTTTGTCGATAATCTACGTTTAATAATCATAAATAGTAAGATTTCGGAGGGCTATTTAATAGCCCGGAGTATCAAACACGTCCATTGTTCCACCACGATTAACCCTGCACAACCTGCTGCAAATCGAAGAATGAGAGTGGAACTGAAAAGCGATCTACCTGTGTACTCCGTGCTTAAAAACGAAGCATCCGTTGGTGCCCACTGCGTGACCTCCTAAACATGAACTTGTCATGTGATGTACGAGTACTGTATCAGACAATACAATAGTAGCAGCTTGTCTGTACCTACGTTGTACCTGTGCGATTTGGACTGTTTCCTGTAGTAGACGTTGCAGAGAAGACAGCAGGCGCATCATGATCCGTACGCGTACGTGCGTGCATGCCATGTACGTGGACGCTGGACCACGTACCCATGTTGTATAAATTGTGGCCGAATATGCCGCTGTATAATGTACAACAATTTTGTTCTACGCATGCGTAGAAATGTTTATTAATAAAAACCTTTTTATCTCCGTAAAATAGAGTTTACTGTTATATTTCCCACTGCAATATGTCCTACGGACCATCTTCAATTGGGCCCCTACATGTATAAAGCACCCAAAAATAGTTGAGAGAGAAAAAAAAGTTCAGCAAAAACCCTACAAGAGGCTTTTTAAAATAGAAAGCCCCAAATCCACCACTACAACAATACAACCCTTATCGGTGCATATGCTTTGTTTTCTCCCTCCTTTTAGGCCATACTTAAAGAATTTAAGGTCTTGGTGAAAAATATGAAATGAGACCCTATAGTTTACAGAATGCCAAGAAAGAGAGAATGAACTTTTAGGCTGCTATATATATTCACCAAAGTTACACGGTAGACCAGGTTAGACTAAAGTTTTCAATTCTAATTTGGCTAGAATGGATTTCTTTTCTTCTATTCTACTGTGTAACCTTGTTGAGAAATCTTCCGTCTCTCAATTTCTGGTTGCACCCCCGAGCTCCGGCCATCTCCTAAAATAGAAGAGAAAGGGAAATAGAGGCTAAGAAATGAGGGCTATTGCTAGATCAGTTCCAGTCAATATTTAAAACTCATAGAATAAGGGTTGGACAATCCTCATTTGTTCTATGGGTTTTGAAATAAGGAATATTGTTAAAGATGCTCTAAATAGCTACCCTAGTATATGCATAAACTAATTATCGACCTTTGACATGTTTGACTCTTTTTCATTGTTAGATTTGCCAAACTTTTTTTTTCAGATTATCTACTTTATTATAGAGATAAAATACATATTTTAAGAAATAAAATTAACAAATATAGCTTATAACAAGTGGTCTAAGCAGTATAGATTTTTTTTTGAAAAA